ACAGCAGAATATCTTTTAGACTCACTCGTACCTGACGATCGGCCGGAAAACGACACTGATGATCACCGACAGATCAGGCAGTGGGCCATCGAACCACCACTGTCTCCAATGTCTGATTTACCATCTTCAGACGAATTTCTCGGTATCATTAGATCCTTGCCGCTAAACAAGGCTCCGGGCGATGATAAAATATCTAACAAAATGATAAAAGAAGCTTGTAAACTTTCGGGTGACACGATTTTCACTGTCTGTAAACGTTGCATTGCTGCAGGAATATTTTCTCGTATATGGCGGTGCGGTAATATTCGTATAATACCAAAAAGTGGCGACAAGCTACCGGATGATCCTAAATCCTACCGACCAATCACATTGTTACCATCGTTAGGAAAGCTTTTAAAACGTCTTGTAGTGCCCCGGCTTCTGCCAGGTGGAGGCAAATTTCATGATAGACAATTTTTATTTACGTTGGGTAAATCGACAACTGACGCTGTTATATCGGTTAGAAAGTTTGTCACAGGGTCAAAATTTCAATACGTGCTAGCTATTTTCTTAGATATATCTGGCGCCTTCGACAACGCATGGTGGCCCATGCTGTTGCTGAATTTAAAATCACGGGGGTGCTTTAAAAATATTTATTCCCTTATCTCTTCGTACTTTTCACAAGGTACAACTAAACTAAGACTTGGTCATCATTCTGTGTCGAAGGCGCTTACAATGGGATGTCCTCAGGGATCGGTGCTAGGTCCATACTTGTGGAATATCGGCTTCGATGATTTTCTTGCGATACCAATACCATCCGGATGTACTCTGAACGCGTATGCTGATGACGGCTTATTACTGGTGGAATCTGATACTAGGGCGGGGCTTGAGAGATTAGCCAATAGATGTTTGAACTTGATATCTCATTGGGGTGAACGTAATCGCTTAACTTTTGCACCCAACAAAACCTTCCAGCTACTTTTAAAAGGTAACCTCAAATCACCACCGAGCATTAGATTTGACAATGTTACTGTAAAAAATAAAACCACAGTGTGTTATCTAGGATTAGTTTTAGAAAGAAACTTTTCATTTATCGAACATATTAAAATAGTTAATGAAAAGTCTAAAAAGAGTTTCTGTGCATTGACAAGGATATCAACTGCGACATGGGGTCTATCATTTAATACATTAAAGATCATATACGGAGCTACTTATTTAGGTTCTATGTGCTATGGTGCACCTGTATGGGCCGATAGGGCGACCGTAGGAGCTGTCCGTCGCAAACTGTTACAAGGCCAACGACTTGCACTGATATTTTTGTGCAAGGCATATAGGACGGTTAGCACTGAGGCTTTGCCGGTGTTGGCGGGTGTGCTTCCGGTCGATCTCGAGGTGCAGAGACGTGCAGCCATGTACTATTCAAGACAAAACATGGAATGCGATTTCTTGGGCGCGCGGGATCGCGGTAAAATTACAAGATTGCTTCAACAGCAGTCCGATGTCTATAATGACCTCATAGACGAATGGCAGCAACGCTGGGACGAATCATCCAAGGGGCGCTATCTTTACCAATTTTTTCCATCTTGTCGAGGACATGGCTTGAGGTGGATCACGGTGTCGCTCAATTTCTTACGGGTCATGGTAACTTTAAGAGCAACTTGTATTCATTTAAATTAGTCGAGTCACCATGGTGTCAATGCTCAACACCTAACTCTCATTATGAACAATCTGCTCATCATATCCTCTGGGAATGTAGTCTTTGGTATAATGAACGTAATATAATGCTGAATAGCTTGCAGGTGACATCTGGGGCGGTATACTATGGGGATCTTGTATCAACTAGGGTGAATTTCCGTGCGTTTAGGCGATTCTGCCATACATATTATAGAAATCAAATATAGCTCATGTAGGACCCGTAATATTTTGTGGCCGTGGTGCTTCCATGTTTAAAAGGGTGTATGCCTATTTCACTTCATTTTGTCTCCCGCTTTGCTAAGGAGAGAAGTGGATTTACTGTGTTTCCAACTCCTCCAATTTTCTTCTGATTAATTTCGTTGCGGGTTCCAAGACAGTTTAATTTCTTCCTGGGACTTCCCGAGTGTCATAACTCGGTGTGTTCGTGGGTCACTGCTGTGGATCCTGGTGTACCTATAGGAGTTACAGTGCTGGGCGTGTGGGTGGGATTAGTCCCATAATGAAAATCATCAAAATTCATCAACGTTATCAACAGCCTTTAATGGTCCAATGCTGTACATAGGCCTCTCTTTAGAAAGAAGTTCTCTGCTGACCAGACGGGTCGGTATAGGATTTGTTTCAAATTATCCTCCTCTTGATGATAATATAATGATAATAAATATGTTAAATAATAAGCTCAACGTGATATTCGTGAATACTTTTTAATCTGATAAATATTTCTTTATCACAATTTCTAGTAATTCGGATATCGACGTCTTGTGTTCATAATATTTCCTGTTATTGAGAATATCTATCAAAATCAAATTATATGCCTTAAATTATATGCCACAATGGACTGACCCTTTCAAAAGATGCAGATAAAATTTAGATGAATACATCCTAGAAACTTGAAATATCTTAAAAGTAAGTTATCTTTACTTAAAAGTGGCGTAATCGACGCAAATAAATTTTACACTTCAGATTTTTTTGGTAGTGTACAATGCACTTGATAACCATTTTAAAAGAAAAGTAATGGATATGTAACTTAGAATTGTTTTTAAGAATTAGTATTTATCAAACAAATTTATTAGAAAAAAATAGGTATAAATTGTACGAACTTTGCGGACTAAGGCCTTACGTAAAATGTGAGTCCTACAATCAGTACGTCACAAATTATTATTAAGGCCTTATGTAAACCGGAGTCCTACATCAGTATGTCGCAAATTATTATTCAAAAAAATTAAAACAGTAAGTAAGCTGGCTCAATCTAATGTCATTGGTAAAAAAACGCCTTAACTGATTTGATGACGATGATGACAATAGTGAATGAGTGGTTTTCTAGTTTTTTTTTCTTTTTATTCATGTCACAATGTTACAATTTATATAAACAGAGTAACAGTGAAGAAAACCACCAGTTACTTGTGTAAATTCCGACGCCAATGTCTTTGAATCGGCGAATTATTCTTTCCGTCAAATAGTATGGTGTCCGTGTGGTGACAGATTAAGAATACGGAGTGTCACCATCCCTATTCACAAAAAAATGTTGCCTTTATCAAACCTTACTTGGTTTTTAGTTTCTTTGTGTATGTTGTTTTTAACTTTTGTTTTATTTTTGTATACTGTGCTTTATGAAATAAATAATATTCTAGTCTATTCTATTCAAACCGTGGGTGTTGTAAGAGCCGACTAAGGGATCAAGCTACGCAAGACAACAGCACTGCAAAAGAGAAGGAAAGCTTGACACTAACCCTTTTTTTTTTTAACTTGTGGAAACCCCCTCGGGCCGTCACCCCACCGGCGTTTACGGCAGGGTGGTGTGTCGGAATCGGACCGACTAAAACCACACGGTTTGCCACTCTGCGCCTGTAATAGGAGGGATCCGGGAACTGCTGTTATTAGGACCTCCGGACCCCTCCTAGCGCCTGCCCACAACGATGCGGGCACCACCTTCAGGTAAATTCTCTATTTAGGCGACGTCCGGCACACGCGGACGTCGCCTGAAAAGGGCTGTGACCAATGTATCATCGGCATAACAAATTACACCCAGCCCGGGGGGAAACTCCACTCGAAGGGTCCAGTCGTACCCTATGTTCCACAGGAGGGGTCCAAGAACAGACCCCTGTGGAACACCGCACGACATGGGCCGACACCTCAGATTACCAGCTCGGTCCTCGTACTCGACGGTAGGCTCCTCTTAATAGTCTGCCACTAGCCGCCTCAGGTACTTGGGCATCCCATGAAAGTGTAGTGCTTCCCTGATGCAGCTGAATGGCAGACTATTGAATGCGTTGGCGATGTCCAATGACACCGCCAACAGCACGCCGCCACAGCTCACCGCCTCTTCGGTCACGGCCCTCAGGCGTAGCACAGCGCCCACCGTCGAACGCCCCACTCGAAAACCGAATTGGGCGTCCGACAGGTCCGGGCCCACCTCGTAGAGGTGGCGGACGATGCGGGCAGAGAGCACCCTCTCAAACAATTTACCCGCCTCGTCCAGCAACACAAAGGGCCTCCAGCACTCAGGAAAACGTCCGGACACCAAGCTAGCGTCGAAAACGTCCGTTTGAGGTAGAAGTACACTCTTTTCTTGAAGGTTTGAAGGCCGTACCGTTACCGTTACGTAGGAAGTACCGTTCCGGAAATATCGCAGACGATAACATACAATAGCTAGGTATCATTTAGCTTAGTAGTAGACCAATGAGCGTTGAGATATATACAATATTATTCATCCAGTTCATAATTGATTTACTTCCAATAATTTTGTCCTTATAATAAGCAATACAATTATCTTCGCATATCGTTAGACGTAATAAATGTGACATGTCATTAAATAAGGAAAAGTCACATCTTGAAAATGAAACATTTTTTTAATCAGATTCGGATTCCTTTTCTTTTTTGTAACAACAGTCTGTCCTTTCCAAATGCGTGTTTATCCCTCTCCCCTTAGCGTAGACCATAGAACAACATTGGGGTCTTATAAAACAGAGTTACTAAATAAATAAATGCAGTGTTTAGGTTTGTATGTTTTTTATTACTTATACATTAGTACATTTTTATAGTAAACATTATTGCGGTAATTTTCATGGTGTTTAAGAATTTGCCTGAATCCATTGAGAGAAGCGAGACACACGTGCGTTGACACCGGGGTGGCTTGCGAGGGCACACTGACGACCAAAAGAGGTAATACCAACAACAACGCGGTTATGGAAAACAGGACCGCCGGAGTCACCCTGACACGCGTCACGACCACCAACGTTGAGCACACCGGTGCACAACATGTTAGCGGTGATTGTGTTACCTCCGTAGCGTTGTGCACAAACGTTCTGGTTGATGGTATAAACTTGCACCTGACGGAGCTGTTCCGAGGAAGGTCCTTGATACTACAAAAGAAACAAAACATGTTTTTGAAATAGTCTTGAATATGATTTGACTTCGCTGCGAAAGTTCGTTTTAATAGATTCTCGTTTCTAGGGCTTCTGTCTAATGCCTTTTGGCGGAACTAAATGCTTAATTCTCTTAAAATGATTTAGATATTGTATATTAAATTGTTATGTGTTTGCTATATCAATTTAAATATTTCTTGATTCATTTGTTGTTAGATTAAAGTATCATCACTGAAATTGTTAAAAATATGTCACAATATTAATGATCTTACCCATTGTCTACCCCAGCCTGTTACCCAAACTCTTTCGTTATCACGGAGATTGTAGTTAGCGCTGGCGATACTTCCACGTTGGAGCACATTGGAGTAAACAAAAGTGGTACGACTGCGTAAAATCATAACATCGTTGTTCATGGTGTTCATGTTGTAACTTGGGTGAAGAATGTTCTGGGCAATGTTGTGAACAACTCCACCACTACTGGCCCAAGTTGATCCCAGACGCAGACGCACCTGATTAGTTGACAGATTGCTGAAAAATAATGTAATTAGAAGTTTTAACGCACGTTTATTATTATTATTATTAAATCGAACCTTTGTCATTTTCTAAAACAGATAATGTTTATCTTACTGGTTTCTCGTGCGAACACAATGTGCAGCGGATAAAACGGATCTGTTGTTAATAATGGTGCCACCACACCATTGGCGGAAGTTATTGCCGCTTCCAGACAAAACATTGGCTTGGTAAGGCCATTGGTTAATAGTCGTAACTGTGCCGCCTACGATCCTCTGAGATGGTTCAAAGGTTTCTGGGGTGGCTGGAAAAACCAAATAATAATAATTTGTCAGTGGTCATCATTTTACTAATATTTTTTTATAAGTGAGTACAGTTATATAACATACATATTACATTTGAGGCACACACACAAAGTACTATTATAATTTAATTTAATATTGAAATAATTATAGAATTTAGAGGTTTTGCACGGTTATGGAATGTACTTAATAATTCAAAACATTTTTTGTGTGATCGTAAAGTGACTAAGAATTTCGCTGGCTGATTATTTTGTTACAAATTTTATACAAGAAAAAAATTTAATCTTGACTGGTTGACAGGTTTCATTGGTCAGAAAGAGGTGAGTGGCGTGGGCAGTAATGTATCGTAATGTATGATGGGCGATAGTCTTGCACAGATAAAAAGCTATATTAACCAGTCATGGCTTTATTTTCTAGGTTAAATTAATAAAAAATAATGAAACATCAAATCATGAAACAAAGGATTTTATAAATGTATTAAAAAACGGATAGATTTGACCGAATTACCGCCAACAGCCGCGATACAAAAGGCCAAAAGAGTGATGAGACGCATGTTGTATTTCTCTGATAGTAGAGTAAGGATGTTTCAATGGCGAGCGAATTTATACCAAAACAGACAATTCAGTATCACTTGATAAGATTTAATGATAATTCTCGTTTAATATACAGGTATATTTCTTATTTTTTTTATTATTATTGAAAAAAAACATAAATTCAGAGTATGAATCAAGATCGGTCAAGAGGAGTACCCGGCTATGGGAGAAAGGGAAACTGTTCCCACCTAGAACCATGGACACGTAGCGGACACATCGTCCAGCAAGCTTGACTTAATGCGGTGCATAACGAGTGTGGATGCTGAATAGCTTAAAGGTGACATTTGTGGCGAATTTAGTCAAGATTATATCAACTGAAAATAAACAGGTAACTATAACTAGATGTAAAAGGTATTGTTGCCTTTACAGTGTTATGTAACATTTAACGTCACTTGATATCTATAACAGTAAATCTGTAAAATAAATGAATAGGATGAGTCGTTGACGCCGTATAATCATGCCTATTTAAAGTTCATTTCTGACTGTCAGTTGTACAGACAACACAACTGTTTGGGTGTTTAAATTTTGAAATTCTGTAAACTAATCGTTTCTAAGCTTACCCTTAATAAATGTGTTAGTCATGGGTTCAAGTTATCTCAGTTAAGAATGTTGATTGTGATACGCTTTGTCTTAGACTGATAATTATTGAAGTAAGATAAACAATAATACCAGAACCTAAACAAACTCCGAACACAAGCGTCAAGCGTACCTGGAGGGCTTAAGCTCATAGCATAGCTCATTACACCCACCCGACATTCGACCAGCACCAGGGCCCCAATTCTGCTATTTTATGTTCACGCCAAGCCACTGTTATACCACTGACACGCTATTGAGATGCCATCGAGTGGCCATTGGCATCGATATAAATATCGGTAGTATATTTTCAAATTATAAGGAATTGATTTATTATTACATATAATTAAAAGCAGCAGCTCATCGCTCGGTGTCCACTCATTGTCGACAGGTGGTCCACAGGTGGACGCCGCGTTGTTACCAGTAAACTTGGCGTGATCAATGAGTGGACATTGCGTTGTGGGGTAAATATTCGTGCTTTTTATTTGTTTACTTTTCTGCGTCGTTCTCCTCCAGCAGAAATAAAATTCACACATTCCGCCATCAGCGGTCTGGATCTAAGGGTTGCACCTCATAAGACGGAACGGTGGTTCCATAGGAAACGCAGAGGTGCGGTTCCCACCCGCTCGATTATTAGAGTGGGGGGAACAGAGGTCGAGGTCGGTCAGCAGTCGGCCGACTGGGACTCCGCCCAGCACACGCTAGAAAACTGCCCTGCGTGGGCGTCTGAACGCGAAGTCCTGGTCGATGAAACCGGACGAGACTTGTCCCCGCCAGCAATCATTACTGCCATGCTGGCGGGTGAGGAGGGCTGGGGCGCAGTGGTCTCTTTCTGTGAAGCTGAAATACTAAAGAAAGAGACCACTGAACGGGATCGGGAGAGGACCGATCCCGAGCGAAGAAGACATCGACGGCGGAATGGGCAGCCGACGGGACCGCGGGCCGCCAGAGACCTCTGGTGGCAGATTAATTGCTGCGGTAGGGGATAGGATGGCAGCCTGATCGCACTGAAAATGTGATCGGGCTGCAACATCTGTATAGGCTGAGAGGCAGGGAGAAGCCACTGGCTTACCCTGAGAGCCATCTCAGTCAGATTATTGAATTTCGAGTAAGGACAATAAACTGGTAGTTTGTTAGTCGTGACATGATTCGCTATACGTATAAAAATAGCTGAATAGCCGAATACCGAATAGTTGCCGAATGTTCGTGTCATTTTAGTATAGCGATAGGCCCTGAGTACTTGTAATGTCTTAGCTAGGCCACTAGCCCCAGACCAACAGTGAACTATGCTATTCTTACTGCTCATGACGATATTTTCTTAGTTAAAAGAAAATAATTCAAACTCAAAAGTGATTTGAAAAGAAAAGATTTTATAAATATAGTTTTAAAACAGGTAGGCATATTAAATTGACTTACAGGCAACAGCCGCTATGCAAAACGGCCAACAGTATGAATAAACCCATTTCGTAACCTTGCTCTCTGATCGCAGAGTAAGGATATTTTAAATGCCAGCAATTTTATGCCGGAATAAACAATACATTATCACCAAATTTAGAACTATAAAAATGTAGAAAAGTTTCCTTATATAACCTGTCAGGAAAATGATATAGCACCTAAAGTCCAAGTTTTCTTCCATACATAATTTTAGAGCTATTATATTGGCGTAGGAATTGACGACGAAGTGGATTCACCAAACTATTACAAAGACATCGACGACATTTGTATCAGTGACAGTTTAGTGACAAGTCATTGGGAGGCCATTGGTCTCACATAGTTAGTAGAATACGAAAAGTGCAAAACTATTCCGACGTCATTCTATCGACAGTCTATTGATACAATATTAAAATACCACAATTGAGGCCCAGGGCAGAATACAAACCATTTTATGAAATATTTTCAAGTTCCAACCACTACTCAACACATCTCACACACAGCAGTCTGACGACAAAATATGCAGAGACTATGCTATGGTGACCAGACTGCTCATAAACATACTTATATATTTTTAAATACATACATATAATAAATAAATTACAACCAGACACAGAACAAATGACTTGACTCATCACACAATATTTGTCCTGTGTGGGAATTGAGCCCACGACCTTTGGCTCAGCAGACAGGGTCATTAACCACTAGACCAACAGGCCCCTCAATTACAATTCAATAATGAAGAACTGCAAAATGTTTGTTGGTCTGATGACTGGAGTTCTTATTTAAGTGTTGATAATATGTTACTCTTATTTTTAGCAATGTACTTAATGCAAAATTTGCATTACATTAGCAACTTTCTTGGAAGCCAGTACACCTTGTAACTGTGTGTCCGTGTGGTGACGGATTAAGAATACGGAGTGTCACCACCACTCTTCATTTAAGGGTGTCGTAAGAGACGACTAAGGGAGCAAACTACGCAGGACAACAGCACTGCAAAGAGAAGAAAAACTTGAAACAAACTGTATACCAACCCGTCTGGCCAGCGTGGTATAGTTGGCCAAAACCTCATTTCTAAGGAGAGTTATATGTCCAGCAGTGGACCGTTAAAGGCTCTTGACGATGACACCTTGTAATATTGGAAAAATAAATAAAAAACGAGTTTAGTTTTATGACAAATATTTTATTTTTGCATTTTAAGAATTTGCCACAATCCATGAAGTAAAGACAGATACGCGTGCGTTAACTCCGGGGAAGTAGGAATGACCACAACCTTCACCAAAAGAGGTAATACCAACAACATTGCCGTTGTGGAACACTGGACCGCCGGAGTCACCCTGACACGCGTCACGACCGCCTTGGTTGAGCACACCGGTGCACAACATGCTAGGGGTGATTGTGTTACCTCCGTAACGTTGTGCACAAACTTGTTGGTTGATGGTATAAACTTGCACCTGGCGGAGCTGCTCAGAACCAACTCCGTTAAACTAAAAAATAAGAAAATGCATCAAAACACGTTTCAATAAAGTATTATCTTTTCACCTTCCTTCCTAAACTGTACTTTTTCTTATTAATCTTAATTTTTTTTAAGTGCATATCATTCATTTCATATTTTTTGTTAAAAAAGTGTTTAATTCTCTTAAAATAATATTTATATCAAAATTTAAAAAAAAAAAGGTTTTTTTTTCAATTAAATGCTAGTGTGGTAACGGAGTAAGAATACAGAGTGTCACCACCCCTATCCACCCCGTGGGTATCGTAAGAGCTGACTAAGGGAGCCAACTAAGAAAGACGACAACACTGCAAAGAGGAGGAAAACTTAACAGAAACCCTATACCAACCCGTCTGGTGAGGGTGGTATAGTAGGGCAAAACTTCCTTTTTAAGGAGTGGCCTATATCGAGCAGTGGACTATTAAAGGCTGTTGATGATGGTGATAAAATTAAATATCTTTTCACTAATTTGTTGTTTCAATAAAAAATCGAAATAAAGTTTAAAAATATTAATAATCTTACAGATGTAAGACCCCAGCCGGTTACCCAGACTGCTTGTTGGTCAGGCAGGTGGTAGTTAGAGCCGGCGATAACTCCTGGTTGTAACACAGAACTATACACAAAGCTGGTACTGCTGCGGAAAATCATAACATCATTGTTCAATGTCCACATGTTGTAATTGGGATGAAGGATATTCTGGGCAATGTTGTGTACAACTCCACCGCTACTGGCCCAAGTTGAACCAAGACGTAAACGAAGCCAATGAGCTGGGAAATTGCTAAAAAAAAACGTTTGATTAGATTGTTTAATATTTTACTATATTTCTAATAAATATAACTATATAATCGCATAAAGTAAAAAATATTCAGTCTTACTGCTGGTGCGTGAGAACACAATGTGCAGCGCTTAAAACAGATCTATTATTAATGATAGTGCCACCACAGAATTGACTGAAGACATTTCCGCTTTGAACCATAATATTAGCTTGGGAAGGCCATTGATTAATAGTCGTAACTGAGCCGCCTACGATCCTCGCAGGTGGCTGGAAGGTTTGTGGGTTAGCTGAAAGTTGTAAAAATATCAAATCATTAATAATGTAGGAACAAAAGTCAATCAATGTTTGTCATCTTGTACATAAAGCCTCTAGTTTTCTGTCAATAAGTACGGTTCTGTAAATTACGAGTACTTCGTCGCTAGTTCAAAGAGTGTGTGTTTAAATGTAAAGGTTTGATAGCTGTCAATTCACATTAATTTGTAATGTTGTAAACATAGGGTTATGTACCCTATATTTTAAACACCATATAAGTGTTTCATTTTTTCCAAACCTCAGAACTGATATATTGCTCTCTTAAGTTGTTGTAGTAACATTTCAATGCACTTATTTCCTATAATAATTGTACATTATTATTCGCTTAAAACAAAATAATTTTAAGCCGCTATAACGCATCACATAAACAAAACGATATTGGCGCCTCTAACAGTAGATAATGTAAAAAAATTATGATATATTCACAATTATTGTATTTATCTGGCCAGACCCCATATGATGACTATTTTATGAAATACGATTATTTCATGAAATAGTCGACCACACCATGAAATGACCAATTTTATGATGGTTATGGTTCCTTTTGGATTTAAGTAAAGACTACGTGATGATTAATACATGATGTGTATGTTAAACACACACCCATAAAAAATAATTTTATATTCAAAACGTAACATTAGAGATAAAACTTTCCACACGGTTTGATACTTGATTTGTTCACACGGAATATACTTAATTGTTCAACATATTATTTTTCTGTGATTATAGAGTTATCGTGAATTTCAATGTTAAAGTATTTTCTAGCATGTTGTTTTGCTGTATGTAAATCATTAACAAGAAGTTAAGAATATAAATCATCGTACCTATAAAGTTAGCTCAAACATGGTTGGATGGAATAGGCTGTCCCCTTTTTACCCGACACTGTTTGGCCAATAGGAATTTTAATACGAAGAAATGTGCACTCCCTTGGGCTCTCCCCCTACCGGAAGATACCGGAAATGGGGTCTATTTGGGCTATCTGACCCAATAGTGTCTCCAAATGTTTTTAGTTTATGAATTTAGTTTTGATATAGGTATATTTAACTAACTTACCGGCAACAGCCGCGATACAAACAGCTAATAGGGTGATGACACGCATGTTGCTACCTTCCTCTCCGGATCCCAAATTAAAGTTGTCTAAAACACGAACGAATTTATATACCAAACCAAACTAAATATTATCTCTAAATCTATACGATTAGACCATTTTTTGTTGTTTAATGCAGTAGTAGTATATCAAATATTTTATCTGTTAAGAGTGGGCTTTCCAAATTTTTCATTGAGATTATGTATGTGTCGATGCCGCCTTTAACAGCAATTGTATCATCATTTCATAGATGAGAGTTAGAGTCACCACAGTTTCATCCATCATCAGCCTATCGCAGTCCACTGCTGGACATAGGCCTCTCCCATTGCACGCCACTTAGATCGATTTTGGGCTTCTCGCATCCAGCACCACAGTTTATAAACTATTAAACCTATACTTAATGAAACAAGTAGATTTTATTCAAATGATGAGATTTTGTGATGATTTAATACACACATGATTGTGTTGAGCCTTTGTAAAACAGATACTCTGAGTTAACCAGGTGCAGAGTCATGTTTTGGTCTGTGTTACGGACATAGACTTCAATGAGGTTAGAAATTATAATATTCTTGTACTTATTGTTGTTTTTTCTATGCCAATCGTGGGAATGCCACTAAATTATCTAAATTAACTAATTTGATTGTAATTTTCGATTAGTAAGATTGATAATTATTAAAGCAAGATTATACAAGATATGGAATTACGCTAACCAATTTCTAGCATACGTATTTAGATTATACAAACAAAAACTAATATAGTAAATAAATTGTGGCAAATGTTACCACTAGTCTCTAAAAATACAGTTATTGAAAAAAAAAAATTATAATGTCTGAAACTTTCGGTCAAGATAGCGTTAAGTATAAGCTCCAAAGTCACATTGATTGGTTTGCAAATCATGGCTATCCATTTCGAACAGTTCTCAAATTATCAGGTTACGCTGATGCGCTTACGTCTCTTGGAAAGTGAAAGGTAAGGACTTTTAGCCGCAATACTGCATCGTTGTTACCCTTTGAATTTTATTGCCTTACTGACTTACAAAAGTAAAAGAAATCCACATTACATATTAAGTGTCAATCCATAAAGCAAGTTGGTTGTCTACTCGTTCAATGTGAATAAGGAACATCCCCAAACAACCTAAATAATTAATAGATGCTGTTTTGTTAAAATATGCACAGAGCATGCAGAGCAAGAGCGGTGGAAGTTAAACACAAAAAATTAACTATCAGTATAAAAGTACTATCATTTATGTGATTCTTGTGGAGTACGCTCAGAAACATTTTCTTTAGTGAAAATTTACCGCGTTTGTCGCAATCGCACTATGAGTGTTTTAGTTTTCGCTAATAGTACTTAGATGGCGCTCGTTGTACTTTTTGAAGTTACGTTAGCAATTCCATTTGAATATTTTAATGAAGAAAAATATGCCTATAATTCGGAAAAAGAACTAAATTTGAAGAAATTTGATTGAAAATGTTATACGTTCGGTTTTACGTATCTTTTTGGAGTTCCTTACGTATTTCTTGCACTCAGGGCAGTAGCTTTAAAAATCTTCTTTTATTTATGTTTGTTTTAACTGGAAAGGCCTGACCGCACAACCGCACAATTGGTATAATACAATATTTATTTATTGCGCTATCGCACACAAACATGACAATTTATCGAGACGCTGTCACCATCCATGGATGCGCGTGGCACGCTGTAACATAAACACACACGAACATTCGCGCAAGCGCCCTGCGGCGCATAAACGAAACAGCAGGCGCAGGCATACATTTTCGCCGCGCCGTAGAGATTACTTAATCTCCTACGCCGCGCCGGCTGTCTACTCTCTCCATCCGTCTTACGAATTATCGATCAGGTCACGTGTCCTGAAGAGAGTTTAACATTTTTTACCAATTACAAAAAAAGTGTACAACGCCGCTAAAGAAATTTTCACTTCAATAAACTATTTGAGTAATGTAAGTAAAAATACCGGATCAGTAACTGCTAAAAAAATTTTTTTTATGATTTTCATAAAAAATCATACTATCACATATAATTAGGTATTACTTACTCTAAAAGTACTAAATGTTAAGATTCATAACAAAAAATATTAGAATAACCAGACGCTGACTAGTTGCAGCTATGATGCACTTCATATTATCCATACCTAAGCACTGATTCAACATAGTTTCTATCATATTCATCTGACGTTATATCCGGGAATGTCACACTTTCAAGTTATTTATTTATTAAGGTAATTACAACAGATAACAAACAAAGCATGATGATTTAAACAATAATATGGGTTTAGTACTGATTGGTACTCTTACGTAATCACACAACATGATGTATGTTCTTAGGTTATTACTTAACTAAATACAGTTTTCAACGAAATTCACAAGTAATTTAAGCCAACGAAACAGTTATGTACTAATGCCAAACTAAATTCAATCTAGGTGTTGTCATTATTTATTTTTGAATTTGTAGGTGCAAAATTTCACTAGTTTTGTTATTGTTAGATTTGCTTTCAGATTGTTCTATTGTAACCATTGCAATTTCGTTCACAATGAGCCTCATAAGAAAGCTTAAAATCACCCACAAAGCAATGGAGTTGTCAGTGCTCGGAGTTTCCTGCGTGATCAAATCAGGAATGAGGAGATTTGCAGATGAACCAATTTCACTGACATTGGCTGGAGAATTGCCAAACTGAAGTGGCAGTGGGCGGGGCACCTTGCTCGTAGACATGATGCCCGATGAGCCCAAAATAGGGATCGAGGAAAACCGTCAGTTGCGGGTATCGCAGGACCAGTTGTTGTGGCGAGTTTTGGAGAATTTGTATGTTCAGCTGTAGACTTCTTTCGGCTGAGAAAAAGAAGTAGAGTAGTAGTCATATCCTCATAAGGCACTATGACCGATTCATCGTCAGCGAACAGGACGCTTTGGTAATTTATATAGTCAGATAAGTAATTCATGTATAGATATAGCAAGAATAGAAGATATCCCAGCACCCTCTCTGCTGAACGCTTATTTAGTTGACTTTAGTTGAGGAGCTACTTATCGTCAATTCAAGCTTATCGTTTAAATTCTTAATCAGGACATGACTGTTGACGGTATGTGAGACAGCTTCTGATCCAGTCCAAGGTTACCCCTCTGATGCCGTATCTTTCACATTTGTTCAGTAGCGTTTTATGGTCAAGAAACTTAAAAACCGTGCTCGTATCAAAACATATACCCACCATGTGAGATATAGATAGATGTTTTTCAATCTATTTATTATCATTATTTTTAACAGCTTTTAATTGTTTACTGCTAGACATAGGCCTCTCCCTAATAAGGACGTATTATTTTACCGAACTCTAATGAAGTCCGATCTACCCTGCTGAAAACCATTTTGTTCTTGTTTAATTATGTTGGGTTTGTTTAAAAAATCCAATGGCCTATTGTCAAAAGTCTTTTCAAAAAATCAAAAAGGGCATTACACGACATGGCTATCTGGGTGGTGAATAAGATATCCGTTAACCTGTATTGAACTTATTAGTAATACATTAATTGTCTTAATACTATCGTTTTTGGCTTGTATTATGCTCCGAGTAGCTTTACTTTTGTTGTCAGACCGAGTGATAAACATTTTGTTCAGATTATTTTTTGAGAAGGTTTTATTATTATGAACTCATGCTCAGTCAGAATCACTAACAACTTTGCCAACAGACAATAAAAATTAATCTGTATTTTTAATCATCGCATATACAGATACAATTATCAAGTTATCTAAAAGAGTTGTGATATGAATGGTTTTCCACAGTCCGTTAAGATATCTTTCTAATGAAAAACAAAATTAATAAAAATATGTAAAATTATTTTTAAGTAAACGAGTTTACGAAAAAGAAAATAAAAATGATGTCGCTACGTACCTACCAAAAGCTAAAAATATTTAAGTAGGCCCTACTTAAATATAACATAACATAACATGTCTCCTCTCCAAAAATAAAATCGTCGGGCAGATGTTGGTACCCTTTGGTTGGTACCACGGTACCCTCTTATACCGACTGACGCAGGTGATCACCGGGAAAGGTTGTTTCGGAGATCACCTGTGTCTGATCCGCAAGGAGCCAACGCCTGAGTGCCACCACTGCGATGGCCGGACCGAGGACACGGCCCTGCACACGTTGGCAGAATGCCCGCCGTGGGTGGAACAGAGGCGTGACCTCGTGGTGGCCATCGGGGTGGGAGTCCTCTCGGTCGGTAGTATGATTGCCGCCATGGTACGGAGCGAGAGTGCGTGGAACTCCGCCGTCTCCTTCTGCGAGCAAGTTATGCTTGCGAAGGAGATGGCGGAGCGGGACCGGGAGAGGTTTAGAACTCTCCCGGCCCGCCAGGCCCGGAGACGGACCAGGTACCGCAGGAGACTCGGGCGCCGGAGGTCGCAGAACGACCTCCGTCCTCTATAAGCGCAAGCCTGGGGGTGACAGATGAGGCCATCTGTCACCCGGCCGGAATGGCGGCGAACATGGGGGTTCCCACACAGGAGGGGGCCATCTATACGCCGTGGATGATCCGAGGTACGTCGGGGTACCAGGGATTTCCTTTCTAGGGTACACCTGGTTCCTCAGCTACTGGTACCCGAGACGACGTGCGGTTTTTGGTCGGTTCGAGTCCGACATAATCACCCCGGTGGGTGATATCCGAGGGGGTAAATAAAAAGAAGTGGTTAAAATTTCAATTACTGTAGAATGGGGTTAATTGGTAAATCATCAATCATGGTCATCTTAAAATGGAATCTCTTTACATTCTATTTAGCAAATAAGAACAGTTCCTTGCAAAAAAATGACCAAGTCATTAAGACAAAATTTGTCTTAAAAGACAAATTTTGTCTTAATGACTTAATTGCATAAAAATAAGATTTGTTTTAACACCGCCATCAAATACAACCCTAAGCTTAGCCAAGTTGCAGTGCTAGAAGAGCGTAAAACACCTTAGTGTGAAAAGTAATGTGATGATAAAATACTTAGACTAACCGTACATAGAATAGAATA